AACAGCTACAGCCCCATTGCTAATATTCCATTCTTAAGCAAACTAGTATAGAGCATAGTAGCGGATCAGCTGCAGGCACTTCTAGAGGAGACCGATGCCCTCAACCCATTCCAGTCTGGGTTCAGGCCGCATCATGACACAGAGATGGCATTAGTTGCCCTGCAAAACGACATTTTGAGGGAGACTGACAGGGGCAAAATGTCCCTGTTGGTCCTTCTCAGTCTCTCAGCAGTCTTTGATACCGTTGACCATGGTATCCTCTTGGGGAGGCTCTCTGGGTTAGGGATTGGTAGTCTAGCTTTATGCTGGATCTGATCCTTCCTAGAGGAACATCCTCAGAGAGTGCAGCTTGGGGAGGTGATGTCCACCCCTTGGATGCTCAGTTGTTGAGTCCCATGGGTCAGTCATCTCCCCATTGCTGTTCAGTATCTATACAAGGCCCATGGGGAGATAATCAGGAGTTTTGGAGCTTTGTGTCACCAATATGTAGATGACACCCAGTTCTATCTCTCCTTCCATCCTTCTGCAGTGGATGCCATCCCATCCTTTGGGTGTTGCCTGAATGCCATGCTGGGTTGGATGGGGGAATAACAGACTGAGGCTGAACAAACCCAAACAGGATGGAGATCCTGTGACTGGGTGCCCCTAGTGGCTTCCCTTTAATTTGGTGGAGCTACGCCTTCTGTGAAAGATGAGGTTCATAGTCTGGGCATACTTCTGGACCCTGCACTATCAATGGAGTCTCAGGTAGCATCGGTGGTCCATGCAGCCTTTTTCCATCAGAGTTGGATCACCCAGCTGTGCCCCTACCTTGAATCAGGACCCTGACTATGCTGGTTCATGCATTGGTAGTCTTGAGACCAGACTACTGTAATGGTTTTTACATGGGGCGACCCATGAGGCTGCTACAGAAACTCCAGCAGGTCCAGAACATGGCGGCCAGTTTGCTGAGTGGGGGGAAGAAATACCAACATATATCCCCTACACTGGATTACTTGCACTGGTTAGCTGTTTGTTTATGTGCCAGCTTCAAGGTGATGATTTTGAAATACAAGGCCCTAATGGTTTGGGACCTCGATACCTGACAGAATGCCACCTCCCAACAAGATCTGCCTGACCTACTCAAGTCTTCCCAGGCCGGGCAGTTGAGATTATTGACCCAAAGAGAGGCCCAGAAAGAGAAAACCAAAAAACGGGCCTTCTCAGCGGTTGCCCCTCATCTCTAGGATAATCTGCCTGAAATCTGCCTGGCCCCTTCAATGGGAACTTTTAAATGATCCTTGAAGACATTGCTCTTTAGGCAGACTTTTCCAGAGTTTACATCATAACAGCACTTGCTCTTTTCCAGTGTTTATTTCTGCTCCGCTGTCTTGCATTTTTAAATTGTTACTCATGTTTATGTTGATTTTATTTACTGTGTATGTTCTAATTTTGTTTTTTTTATTTTGTATACTGTGTATGTTCTAATTTTGTTTTTTTTTAAATTTTGTGTTTGATTTTGTATATAATTATGTTCTATATCTGTCATTGATCATTGTAGTTTTCGATTTGATTTGTTTGGAGATGTTTTATATTTCATGTGTCATCGTTGCGTTGAGTGTAAACTGCCCAGAGTGGCCTTGTAGCCAGATAGGCAGTATAGAAATCAAACAAATTAATATAATGTAATGTAATAATAAACTACTTCCACATTTTTCAGTCAAGTGCAGATGTAGACTCATGGAAGTGCGAAGAAATTGTTCTCAGGCTTTAACTTTTGTTTTCTTCTCCTGTACAATACTGGTAAAATAATCTAAAATATTTGAACTCCCATTGTGATAGGAACACTGTTAATGGGTCGCTACAATGTCATCTGATAGAATTTAACAGTTTCTAATTTTAGTAATTCCCAGTGATTATGTTTGTTCTCTCTTTCAGAGAGGGGTCGTTTGCTTACCTTTGGCTCCAACAAGTGTGGGCAGCTGGGTGTTGGAAACTATAAGAAGCGTCTGGGTATCAATCTGCTGGGAGGACCCCTTGGGGGGAAGCAGGTCATCAGAGTCTCCTGTGGTGATGAGTTCACCATAGCTGCTACTGATGGTGAGTGTTGGCACTAGTGAGCTGGCAGTAAATAGGCCCTATAAACTGTCTTTCCCAAGTGTCAAAGGTATTTACTTAGAGTATCCTGGAGAAGAGTTGCACAAAAAGAATACTTCCAGATTGTTGTTAGATTGAGAGAAAATTTGTGGATAGCAATTTATGTGGTAAAGCCACACGAAACATAATAACCCTGCAGATTATTGCTACCACCAAGATGTACTTGGATCACCCGCATGAGTCAGGAGGTGAGGCTGAGGAGCCTGACGCCGAGGGAGGCCCAGAGGGAAAAGACACGAAGCCGGGCCTTCTCGGTGGTGGCTCCTCACCTTTGGAACAACCTTCCTCTGGAGATTTGCGAGGCCCCAACACTGGGTACTTTCAAATGCCAGCTGAAAACATGGATGTACATCCAGCCCTTCCCTCCTGTCACTACTGATTTCTTTGCTTTGCTATTTATTATTTATTTATTCCTGCACTATTTGTTATTGTTGTATGCTAATGTTTTATGTTTTTTTAAATTGTTTTGATATTCTGTAAGCCGCCCAGAGTGGTAGAATATACCAGATGGGCGGGATATAAATCGAATGAATGAATGAATGAATGAATGAATGAATGAATGAATAAATAAATAAATAAATAAATAAATAAATAAATATAAATGCCATATGATGTTCCTCTGGACAGGATTATTAGATATGTAGCCCTTTGGGCAGAAATAAACGCAGCCTTGTAGAAGTTCTTAGATGGCAGTGTGGGTTTTCTGACTTCCAGCTAATAATCTGTTTCTCTTTACAGATAACCATATCTTTGCCTGGGGTAATGGTGGGAATGGCCGTTTAGCAATGACACCAACAGAGAGGGCTCATACATCTGATATTTGTACATCATGGCCTCGACCCATTTTTGGTTCTCTCCATTATGTCCCAGACTTATCTTGCCGTGGTTGGCACACCATCATAATTGTTGGTGAGTATGACATGGCCAGGGACTGGAATCAGTTCATGAATATGTGAAGAAGACACATATTCATGAATTGATTCTACTTCTCATCTGTAAATAATGTGTAAAAAGTTACTAGAATAGTTTGTAATTTTACTGGAGAAATATGGTAGCATGTGTTAGTTTTGCACATTTTTGAAATATTTAGTTAAGGAAACTTTCCTTTTTTTTCTCTGCAGAAAAAGTTATAAATTCAAAAATCCTTCGTTCCAGTAGCAGTGGCCTGTCCATTGGGACTGGTAAGTCATCGAACTATTTAGTAACATACCATTACTTTTCAAGATGGTGGCATAATGAAAAATGCACTCTAAAGAGATATGACTGAAGTGAGGAGGGCAGGCAATTTGGCTAAATCGTTTGTTATTTTTTAATTGATCTATCTTTTAGTACTGAATTTCTTAACTATTTCATAATTAAGCCTTGGTTACTCCTTTGTTTTTTGTTTTAGATTATTGTTTGGGGCTTTAATTGTACCTTAATTGTCTTAATTATATAAGGAGGTATTCAAATAGCGCATTTACTTCCAGAAATAACACTTTCTCCTTTGCTTCACTGAAGGGTGTTGTTTCCTTTTAGATTTAAGATCTCTTTAGGCATCAGAGAATCACAGTTTTCTGTAGTTCTTTATTGCCTGAACAGTCCTTAACCATGAAGAAATGTAAAACGAAAAAACAGTTAAAAGCATGGAAGGAAGTCATATTTCTGGAAGCAGATATACTATTTATTGAAGACTTCTTCATATAGTTACGACAAAAAACTATTCTCTTCACTATGTGGCAATTACTAAATAAGTTAACATAAATGGAACATAAAATTAGAGCCATGAAGAAGAGGGCTGGAAGACCATGCTACAATTCATTGAAAATGTTTGTATGGGTTCTTTTTTTTAATTTAATATTTCGACAGGGCTTGTGGAGTTATATGTTGTTCACCCTTAGTGTAGATAAATGGTATTGAACTAGATAGATCAATGGTCTAAATTTTATCAAGCAGTTTTCCATGTTCTTGTTTAAGTCATAGGCTTGGCTTAATTTCTTCATTCCTTTCTTATTCTGCTGGCCACAGTTCATAGAATGGAATGAAATTAAATGCTTCAGTAATGTGAGGGTCTTGCCTTTGGCTAATCTTTGGCTAAAAAGCATTTCAAGTTATGGGCCATAAACCTCTCATCATACTAACAATTTCTAAGGGATTACTGCAGCAAAAATAACATCCCTGTGGCACCTTACAGAGCAATAAACTTATTATGGCAAGAAATTTAGCTATATTTTAGCCAGTTAAATTCCTGTGGGAAGCAGATGAATTTGACTAGCTGATATAATCTGACTGTTGATTCTTTGAGCAGACTAAAGACGAGGAACACCTACAATTTTAGGCTGAAATCTTTTTGCACATCTACACTTGTAAGCAACAGTTCATATCATAAGTCGGGGTGATTTTTGGAGATGCAACCCTTCTTTCTTCAGTTCCATGGCTCCCAACAGCTCTGTGTATTCTCTTTCATCATGTGGAAGCTGTGGGAGTTATGGGATGGGAGGAGGAAATCTTTAATTACCTCAAATTGTTGCTGCTGGAATGGCATTAGTGGGGCAGTGATTTTTGATAATTAAAGACTTCCTCCTTCTGTCCTGCAGCTCCCACCCAATGTTAAAGACTTCCTCCTTCTGTCCCACAGCTCCCACAAAATTATAGGGAGACATGATATCCATGGGACAGGAGTAGGAAGTATTTCATTTCTGAAAATTGTCTCCAGAAGATGACATCATCAATCTTCTATGGATGTAATTATGCAAAAGGATTTCAGCCTTAGGCATTAGATATTAGTATAGAGACACATCATACTAACAATTTCTAAGGGATTACTGCAGCAAAAATAACATCCCTGTGGCACCTTACAGAGCAATAAACTTATTATGGCAAGAAATTTAGCTATATTTTAGCCAGTTAAATTCCTGTGGGAAGCAGATGAATTTGACTAGCTGATATAATCTGACTGTTGATTCTTTGAGCAGACTAAAGACGAGGAACACCTACAATTTTAGGCTGAAATCTTTTTGCACATCTACACTTGTAAGCAACAGTTCATATCATAAGTCGGGGTGATTTTTGGAGATGTAACCCTTCTTTCTCCAGTCCCATGGCTCCCAACAGCTCTGTGTAATCTCATCATGTGGAAGCTGTGAGAGTTAAGGGATGGGAGGAGGAAATTTTTTATTACCTCAAATTGTCGCTGCTGGAATGGCATTAGTGGGGCAGTGATTTTTGATAATTAAAGACTTCCTCCTTCTGTCCCACAGCTCCCACAAAATTATAGGGAGACATGATATCCATGGGACAGGAGTAGGAAGTATTTCATTTCTGAAAATTGTCTCCAGAAGATGACATCATCAATCTTCTATGGATGTAATTATGCAAAAGGATTTCAGCCTTAGGCATTAGATATTAGTATAGAGACACCTCTGAGTATTCTTAATTTCAGTTAACAGCTAGAATGAAATGATGCTATCCTGATGTTTTGCTTGTTTCCAAAAAATGGTGCCAGCATCCTGTTCAGCTTTGCTGAGTGGAAAGTCCTGCTACTGTGGTTATGTAGAATCATGCAGCTTGTACAATTACACACATGGTAATTTCCATTGAAGAAAACATGCACTATACTCGTGCAACAGCAGTGCTTCCACAAGTGTTATGATCTAGATGACTCTGCTAGCAGGACTTCCAAGGAGAACATTCACTGAATATTTATTTCTAATAAACTAGTTCTTCATTGTTCACTGAATACTTAAAATAGCCTATGCAATAATAGGACTAACAGCTAATGCAATAAGAAAGAATAAATTAATTAAAGGATTAGGAAAAAATGATACAATTAAGATTAATTTATTTGCTGATTAATTTATTTGCTGATGACTCATTATTGACTATTAAAAACACATTAGAAAGTATGGATAAGATTAAAAATCATTTAGAAAAATTAGGGGAAATAACAGGATTAACTGGCAAAAAGCACAAATAATGATGTTTAATGGTTGTTGTGGGTTTTCTGGGCTCTTTGGCAGTGTTCTGAAGGTTGTTCTTCCTAACGTTTCACCAGTCTCTGTGGCCGGCATCTTCAGAGGACAGCACTCTTATTATGATGTTTAATCATAATAAGTATGAACAAGAAATGTGTGTAAATAAATATAGTTTTAAAATGTATAATAAAATATTTATGTATAAATATAGTTAAAGTGACTCAAAAACTAAAAGAAAAGAATTTTAATAAATTAAAAAGTGATATTAAAGATAAATTGCAGGAGTATTCTAAATTGAAACTATTGTGGTTTGGGAGAATTTCCATGATCAAAATAAAAATATTACCAAAAATTACCTTTTTATTCAGGATGCTCCCAATACAATTAGAAGAAGAAGATTTTAAGTACAGTGGTGCCTTGCTAGACGATTACCTTGCAAAACGAGGAATTTGCTAGACAATGACTTTTTTTGAGCAATGTTACGCTTTGCAAAACTATTGTTCCTATGGACGATTTTCACTGGATGATGTTTGGGTCCTTGCCTAGCAAGACTTTTTTTTTTTTTTTCCCTGTTTCCTAAGATGGGGTCT